GTCTACATTTTCATCATCATACCAAATTAAAGGGGAAGGAAGATCTCAATTGCATATAATTAGCGAGTGCATGAGTTGCTTTCACTTGAATGGCCCTGTGGGAGTCCTACAAATCATCAAACCTATTTTATGTGCCCCACTTCCCTCGCTCCATCACCATGTAATTTAATTATTGATATTCATGGTGTGTTCTAGTATTTTTTTTTTTTCATAAATATTTTCTCAACTTTTACATCAGCATAATTACTCAGTATGTTATATTGTTCATTCTATTACCATTCATCATTTTATTTTATCATATCAAAAAGCTCATAAGCATACATTACAAGGAAATGAAGGAATCATAACAGAATGTATCTAAATGAGTCAATTACTTAATATATTTATATAGTATAGTCCTCAATGACTCTAATGTTGATAGAGTTGTCTAATATGGAGAGTACTATTGAAAATGCATGAAGTACAATGGCAATGAGGGGAAGAGTAAGTGGGATAAGTGGGTGGATGGGTGGGTGGTGGGTGGAGAATGCGGTGAAGATCTTTGTGAAAGTCTTGATACGACTGACGACTCCATTACATATTTTGAAATAAAACGAATGTAGTGCAATTGACATTATGTAATTTGATATTATTTGATCTCATCTGTAATCCAATATCAAACACTTACATGATATGATGATAGATATCACAATTGTCATTTCTCAATACTCTAATGTTTTTAAAATTTCAATAGAAACCCGAGTTTTATCTTTAGTGATTCGTACACACAACAATAAACAATGCTATATTAAGTCTAAAATCAACTAAAAACACAATGAAAAACAACCACCGACACTTTACTTCATTAGTCATCCTCAAAACTTACATGGTACTAGTTTTACCTTTTCATAAGAAAAAAATATGTATGTACATTGTTAGTGATGAGACATGAACCCATAACCAATTTGGTTGGTGTGATTCAATGGATTTGTAGGGATCTTCTGTCAAAGGCCTAATGATTGTTAATGGTGGAACAAATGGCTACCAACCAATTAAAAAAATATATCCAGTTGTTCGAGCTTGTGCAAATCAAATTTTATCAAATTCGAGTACAAAAAATAAGGATGAACCATATGAGTTGTGGCTTGTAAGGACTCAGCTCGAATTTTATCGACTTTTCTGATTCATATGAATATTTTGAGCTTGAACTCAACAAAAACTTGTTTTGCTAAACATTAGGGGTGTAAACGAGCCGATGTCCGGAGTCTAACCAAGCTCAGGCTTGGCTTGTTTAAAATATAAATCATGGGGATCGATCTCGAACTCGGCTCATGTAGTGGCTTACAGAAGATTCATAGCATGAGCTAGGCTTGCAGAAGATTCATTATGCTCGGGCTTTACTCGTTTGTCTGGCAAACCTAATCGAGCATGAGCTTGGCTCGTTTAACTATCAAAGCTCGAGCTCGACTCTATGAGAAAATGATGAAAACAGAACCCTTGATGTATAGGCATGGTTTCGTTCTTTGAAAAGGAATCGTGAGGGAAGAAACTAACAAAATCCCTAGATCTATTTCATGTATGTATTATATGTAATCAAGACTAAGACTATCATTACTTCCTTTCTTTAGCGACAATCCACTGCATGGAGAGATTATTATTACTTAATATTTGATATCTGTTAATAATTTAAATACAAAATATAAAATTAAAATTAGATATTTTTTACTATATAAAATTATATAGGTTCATTTAGGCTCACGAGTCTAATCGATGTCATTTGTTTGAAGCTTGGGTTCGAGCTCATTTGTTAAACTACCCTCCAACTTATTCGCAGTTTCACACCCTTGCTAAACATATAGATATTTTCGAGTAATTCGAGTTTCAAAATTTGAATTTGTTTTATTGCGTGTATTTCATATATTTTCGTATTATTCGAGATAGTATTTTGTTGAGCCAAATTTTGAGTCCTTATCAAGAAGAGAGGTCAATCTACTTAATGAAGTTTGAGTTTAAGCTAATATCATTAAATTATGTTTAAACCATAACAATATCCAAACCAATTTACATGGTGGTTCGTGGTTACTTACATTGTCTACAAAAGAAAACTACATATTTTTATCTTCTACATATGATTTTCCATTCTAGTAATCTGGAAGCACAAATTCACATATATCACAATAGGCCATCAATTGGGCCGCCCATTCTAATATTTTCACATTTGAATAAAGGCTTTTTGGAAAATAACCAAAAACATTTCCGTTTCTACCAAGAAAAGTATTAAATTTTGCAGTGGACCCACTCCAAACACAATGGTGGGAAATTAGATTTTTTTAAGATTTCCAAAAAAAAATAGTAAAAAGAGAAAAAAAAATCAATAAAAATTTATAAATTTCCCATTGCCAAATTATAATTCGTAATTTTAAATTATAATTTCTTAATAGCATCTGTAATAGTAAACAGAATTGTTACCTCACTATTTAATTATATTGACCTCTAATTAAATTGTTTCTTTAATGGTTAAACTTTTTAATGGTATTTTTCATTAATTTAATTACTTTATCTTTATCTATCTAAGATATCATATAAAAACCTCTCGTTTAACTAATTGTTATTTAAACATGTCGTATTTTAATATATACATTCACTCATGTACAAACGATTCACATATTACTACAGTATATATTTATATATTATATATTTTTATCTATAAACTTTAGATAAATAATAAATACTTAAAATTAGATCAAGGGGATAAAATGTAATATTATTAAAAAGAAAGAGTTAGAGTGTTCAAAGTATTAAACTTTATTGACCACTTATTGAGTGATCAATAAAAATAAGCAAAAAAAATCATCTAGTCCAATGGTGTTCAATTATTTTGATCACTCAACGGAATAGTAATAAGCTATAAAAAAAATTTCATTAAAGATGCTCCAATGACAGAATTGCAATTTTGCCATGCCTATTTGCACTTTAGCAATGATAATATCAAACATAATTTCTCAATGCTAAATTACAATTTCTTGATACTAATTTGTTCAAAAACTTTAACGTTCAAAAAAAAACTTCTTTCTGTTGTAAAGATCTTTAAAAAAAGCAAAAAAAAAAAAAAAAAAACAATTCCACACTACAAAAAAATCTCTTTATTTGGTAAAATAAGTCGTAGGTTATTGTTTTTATGTAAGTCATGGATTGATAAAGTGTATTGGCTGGATAATAAGATTTTTATGGAAAAATATTGTTATAAATATTGTTTTTTATTGGACTTGTTTGAATATAAATAAATGATTAATTTATCCTCACTTACAAAATGACAAATAAAAAATAACAAATTGTTTATTAACCGTTACAAATTAAAAATATATATTATCACATAATTTTTTAAAAATTATAATTTTATAAAAATTATAATTTTTTAAAATAACATGATTAATAACTTAAACTGAATATAATATTTAAATTAGATTCAAATGACAAAATTAAACCCAAATATTGGTTAGTATATTAGCTATTTCATCATGCAAATTATATTATAAATTTTATATATATGACTCCGCTTTTTTTAGCTTTGGCATCATTTTAAAATACTATCATCTTCACTTTATAGCATTTGTTGATTTCATCCTATAGCAAAATGCACACAATTATCTATGAATATAATACATGAGTTGGATTTGCCAAAATGATTGATTGCACGACACGATATGGTGACAAAAAACTATCTGCTCAATTTGGAAATTTACTAACAAGTTGGGCAAAATGGAAAATTGCATACAATTGTTTAGTAGTTAAACTTAAATATGATGATGACATAAAGGTAAGGATGTCTTCTCAGTTCTCCCCGTGTTATAATATGATAATTTGTTACTTTTAACATTTCAAAATTTATGACCAATTACACATAAGTTACATAACGGGAGGGCATTAGACTTAAGCGACAAGTTAATCTACTCACCTCTTCCACCTCATGATAGAACCCAAAATATTTTTGTTGTTGTCAGTGTTTTGTAAATCGGTAAAACACATCACTTGATGTGGGGTCATTTGTTTTAGCCATTTATACTGCGATCCAAACACAGATAGCCATGATGTTACAATAATATAACATCCTAGCACATCCTAGCAAGAAACTAAGGCTAGGAGAAAGAAACATACAAGGAAAAATACAATTCAAAGTGGACAACTCCAACTAACCCAATTAGATATTTCATTTTTACCCCTAAACATAGAACCATAAACATTTTGTTAGCATTGAAAAAGAACATCCATTTAAAACTAAGGTTAATGTCATTATTACCTTTTCAACTTAAGGTTTCAATCACAATTACTCACTAATTACTTTTTATGTAGGGGTGTTTGACTTATCTTTTGAGAGGCCAAAAGTCTTTTTAGAAAAAGTTGCAAAAAATCACGATTCCAAAAAGTTGATTTTCCTTATATTCAAAATCCAAAAATAGCTTTTAAAAATGTTTTTACCAAACATCTTTTACCTTTTATATTTTCTTAAAAGTACTTTTGGTCTCTCAAAAGATAAGTCAGACACCGCGTAATCCAAGCCACTATAGGTTGCCAAGCTGAGAGTGGGTTCACATTACTGTAATGGTGCTTATTTGGCGTCAACATGGATTACTATGTACTTTTAAATTTTTTTGTAAATATAAAATTAATTTGTTATGTAGCAATTTATATTTTATAAATACAAACCCAAAAAATGAACAAAGATTATAAAGATGAACTGCAGGTTTAATTGAGTTATCCATTTTCTTAATCTATGAACTCCATATTCTTAAAATAACTATAAAGATAAGAAACATTTTTATGTATCAAGTGGAATAACTAAATAAAGACCATGTATAAAAATATCCAAGTAAAAAAGGACCAATTCCAAAGCACAAAAAAGATATTCTTATGTTCTTGCTTCTAACAAAATTGGTGGTTACTTTGTCCAAATAGGAAACTTCTGAACAATAAGTTAAATAGGTTTTTTTCTCTTAATTTTAAATGTTAAAGCATTAGAAATAAAACCAATCTCATGATGTATGAAGATGTGGATCCAATAAATCTCTGAAAAAAACAAGTATTGATCAAAACTTAAATAAGACAATCTCAAATCTCAAACCACAGAAAGATTTCAAGACTAAGCTGACATCCAACAGAAATACCATAAAAATAAAATACTCAGCGATAACGACGAAGAGAAAGAGTATTGTTCCTCTTCCATGTAGCCCTTCTAGAAGGCCTCGCCTTATGGTTCAAGTGTCCCTTTCCACGTAGTCCTCTGTATTTCTTTCCAGCAGATGTCAACCCACGAAGCTCTCTGTGCTTGTGCACAGGGTTACAAATCCAGTTGATCCTCGGGTCATTTCTTATAGCAGCATGTGCTGGATCAACCAGTATCACCTCAAAGTACTTGTAGGTCGAATCCTGCATTAAACATCACTTTCAGTCTCAGTCCAATTACCAAACACAAACACAAACACAGTACAACTTTATCTGTATTATGTCATGTCATACGTACCTCGTTAAGCCAGTAAGAATTGAGGACTTTGAGGCCACCTAATTTCCTTCCCGCACGTTCCTCAGCAACAGACCTTTTGCTGCGTTGAAATTTGAGCTGAGTCACACCTTGGTTTGTGGGCTTTCCATACACGATACCCTTTGGAACTGGCCTCTTTCTTCCACCACGCCTCACACGTACACGATAAATCACGTAACCCTAAATATATATTACCACAAATCATAATCATTTAATAGGAAAAACATATCTAGATGCATAACTTTAACCATACAACTTCTATTATTTATGCAACACAACACAATTCAAGATGACAAAGTTAAAATGGTATCAACTGCCTGCACTAAGTCAGTCACAAAAGAAAATCATTATGAGTTTAGACAAGGATTATAGCACAAAGAAACAAATATATATTTAATTCAAATATACATATGGTAAAGTTGCATGATTTTGTTGTAGAAAAGTATAATACCAAATGCATTCTGTCAGTTTATCAACTATACAATACCGAAACATAGGTAAAAATGAATTAATTAGATTGTTACGTGGATCATTGTTCCTTAATTGCAGATTATTCTTTAGACAACAGGCCTATACACATTCATACGATAGAAAACCATTGGAACCTTCCCTTTAACAAAATTATGTAATTCTGCAATTTGAGGGTTAAACATTGGCATGAATAGTAAACGAAAAGATATAACTATCAACAAAGTATTCTGATGGGATCAGGGCGGATGAAAACCAAATGTTGCAATTTAACTGACAAGAGTAAATTACCTGCTTGGCTTTGTAACCCATACGCCTTGCCTTATCGGGTCGGGTTGGGTGAGTGACCCGGACAATGGAAGGAAGCTGGCGATACTCCCAGCACCTCACCCTCTGCATAAATCTCATCACATCCGACTGTTTCTTCCTCCATAGCTCCGACACATATGTATAAGCCCCTGTTACCATCAGCAAAATCAAATCTCATTTCAATCAATTAAAAACACTCTTCACCGGTATTTCAACAGATCAAAACCAATCAACAATCAAAAAATAGACGAAATATCAAAATCCGGAACACAGATACAATTTTGCAACAAATGTATGACATATCAACCAAGGAAGGGAGGACATAACATCAGGAAATCAAGAGAAGCGGTAGAAGTCTTACCCATAGTTGTACTCTTTCTGGATTTGAGCTGCGGAGAGAATGCTGCTATTAAGCGTAAAAAGACGAAGCTAGGTTTGAATTAGGGTTTTAGTGAGTGTCTGTGGTCCGTGGACAGAGAACGTATGGGCCAATTTCTTATAGGGCTTGGACTCCGCCACTACTTTCACTGTTCACAAGTAGAGTAGCCCGTTAAGAGTAAGGGTTTTCAATTTTCGTTGAAATAATTCTTTTACGAACATTCAATTACCATATGATTTATCTCAAATAATTAGCTTTTAGTATTGCGATAAATGATTATTATTTGAAAATTATAAGAGTTAATCGTGAACATGATCGAAATACGCTACAGTATAATAAGTAACTATTTTGTACAACTTTAATTACAAAATAATCATATAGTATAATTACAAAATAATCATGTAGTAGTTGTGAGACTCATTTAAAAAAAAAATTAAATATAAAGGTCAAAATATTAACGAACTTTGAATTTATAAGAAAATAATAAAAATAATGAATTATTATAATGAAAATATTTTTTATCTTTTAAATTTAAATAAATAAACAAAAAAAATTATGAGCTTTAACCATTGCTTTTAGAATGACTTTTTAACTTTGTCAAAAAGTCAAAAAAAGTCGAAAGATGTTTTGATAATAGAAAACTTCTTTTGAAATGACTTCTTGCGAAGAGTAAAATGAGGAGTTTCAAAAAGTCACAAAAACCTTATTTTTTGTGACTTTACATATAACAATTACACCAAAAGTCATTTTGTTAATCCAAACACATTTTAAATAGCATCTTTTGCAAAAAGTCATTCTACAAAAAAAACTTTTGATACTCAAAAACAATCTCAAACACCTCCTTAGTTTTGGGAAATTTTGAAATTAAAATGTAAGTTGATTAATGAAATTGATATCCATTTATTACTATATTTATTGTAATTATTACATTAAAATATTTTGTGTAATTTAATAAAATAGAAAAACTCATAAAATAACATGTGGGAAAAAAATTAATTCAAAATAATCACTAAATGACATTTGGCAATTGAATGAGAGTGTGACAAGTAAAAAAAAAAAAAACTTTCATTTATTAGAGTAAGAAGATTTTTCAACAATAAGTCTAATCCATAAGTTTACTTTTCTAATAAATAAATAAATAAAACATACTTATCTGCAGAGTTTATCAGGTAAACACAAGAATCTTTATTATTTATGTTTTTAAGATTAAATTTGATCCAAATAAAAATATGAAACAATGTAAAGCTCGATTAGTTGTTAAAATATATACACATAAATAACATATTTTGTTAAACAAAAGAACATGAACACTAAAATCTATTTATTTATTTGTTTGTCTTCGTTTGTTTGTTTAATTAACTTTATTTTGGTTTATTTACTTATATATATATAATATATATATATATATATATATATATATATATATATATATATATATATATATATATATATATGACCCGACCGAAATGTTTTATCTCTAAAGCTCAAGAAGTTCTTATGTGTAAATTCAATGAATAAATACATAGACTAAAATAAGTTTCGTGTCAGTTGTATCTAAAGCTTGATGAAGCCATTAATAGTAAGGATTTCGTTGAGAATCAAGTAAATTATAAATATATACAAGAACTAAACTTTCCTTTGTGAGACATGAGTATTGTAACTACTTGTACAAGATGCAATGAACATTATACAAGCTATGCAATCCATCAATTTCTTAATTTTGTATAATCCGTTACTTTCAACATTTTTAATTTGCAAAATGATATTTTTCATCCCTCTACTTTTTAAGATATCATTTTCACCTCTCAACTTTCAACTTTATAAAATATCACTTTCACGTCTTGGTTTTTTGAACTTTCATGTTTGTGTTGTAGTAATTATAGTCTTAAAACATTGAAATAAAATTTATATAACCAAATTAGTCTTACAATAACAATTTGAAACAAACTCTCTGCAGGGGAATCTCCACTCACTGCTTCCCCTAATATCCTCCCTTTACCACATCATGGGGGTTACTGTTAGAAAGCGAGAGTAGCTGTCTTTAGGGCGCTAGTTCCCTTTCTAACAAGCTGACCGGAATAGCGGCCCTCGCTTCTAGTCCCACTTGTAGCCTTCTGACTTTCATTATCAGGGTATTTTCGAGGGGTGAAAGGTGCTTAGGTGGGTTTGTTTGAGTCTAAATCCTGATTACGTCGAGTGGAGAGGCCTTAGTATTCATACAACCAAAACTACGCCATGCTTTTCCTTAATAATTGTTCATAACTTGTTCCATGAGTGTTTGTGCAAACTCAATCTTTTTCTACCCACGTTGTTTACTTCTTCAGTGAATGTTTCTAATAAACATTTTATTTGTTCATTGGTCCATGTATGTTTATCTCTCATTGCTAATAACAAAAAAACATAACCTTATAAGATTTGACCAACAATCAACATAAATATGAGGAAATTAGAACACAATAATAACATGCCAACACACAAATATGACATTTTTCTGCACACAAATAAAGTAATCCAACAATGATTAAACAATAATACCATTTCAAGACACAAATATGAGCATTTCAACAAACATTTTAGCAAAAATTGACATTTCAGCAAACATTCTAGGAAATCAGTATAACAACAACACCAACAAACATTTAAGCAAATCAGAAAAATCCATGAAGGGTGAAGCAAATCAGAAAATCGATCAGAAGTGGACAATCATTTAACAAGAAATCAGTATACCAAAATATCGATTTTAGCATACCAAAAAGTGGATTTCAGTTCAACAAATCGATTTCAGTTCAGAAAATTGATTTCGGTTCGCTGATGATCATACCTATCGACGATATTCTGAAGCTTTACAGTGTGTGCCGACAAGAAACAATCCATGTGTGGTGCGCCGACGAATGGGTTGAGGCCGATGATCAATGCAAAGGAAGATGATGGAGAAGGAGTGCGATTGTGTTTTTTTTAGTATGGTTTCTTTTATTATTAGGGTTGAGAAGAGTTTTGAAGTGGTTGATCTAATTGATGGATTTTTAGCAAAATAACATTCCTATGTGCACATGCAAAACCCTAAAGCTTTGGATCTAGGTTTCTCTATTGTACATGCAAATTTATCCAAAGCTTGTAAACCCTAAACTAGCATACAACAAAACAATTGAATATCAAATAAACAAGTTAGATGAATACCTTGATTGTTGATTGTAGATCGTGAAGCTTTGAGAACCTTAGCACCCCAAATGTTGTGCATCTAATGAATCACAAAAACCAAAAGCAATTGGATGAAGCAATAGAGAGAGAGAGAGAGAGAGAGAGAGATAGGAGAGGGAAAAATCGGCTCCAAGACTTCTAGGGTTCAAGTGTAGCCGAAATCTCATGCCCTAGAGGTCTTTATATAGGTGTGGAAATTAGAGTTTCAGTCATTATCCTTATCTGGTTTCTTAGCCACCAAGCAACCCAATGGATTATTCTAGAACCCTTCCTTTGGACGAATTCCTAAGGCTTTATCCTTAGAATTCGTCCACCCTATACTCTAGGGTTTCCTTACCCAACTTTGCAACTATCACATAATTACAAGTTCAGTCCCCTTAATTCAATTAACCTTTTTTTACCACAAAATTAATTCTTAATTACTTCTTGACCAATGTTAATTAAATAAATATGATTTCTCTTTTAATATATTATTCTTATAATATATTAATAAACCATAATAACCTCTTTCTCTATTATTCATCCAGTCAAGTTGCTTTGGTGAAGGCAACCTAAAAGAACCATGCTACAACCGGGTCAAGTACAAACCAAATATAGTTATGGACTTAGACACTAATCCAACAGTCTCCCACTTGGATAAGTCTAATAACTACAAATGCAAGTACGACTTCAGAATCCGATTAGCAATCGCAGTTCTCAAAACTTTTGATCTTATTAATAACCCGTCCTTTAGATAAGGGATCGTATAATCCTCTGTTCTAGATATCGTGCAGACAAATACATGGAACATAGTCATACTTATTGTCCAGCAATTTGTTTCTCGATCTCTGATCCGTCTGACATAGAACTTAATTGAACACATCAATTCAGTCCTGACCGGGCCCAGCACATAAGTCAAACCAAATCATCGAGGGGCCCAGATATCGCTCTTACCCTCTTAGGATAAAAAGAACAGATAAACTTCGACTTATATGCATTTACTATTCACTCCTCAAATCATGCACAACAATGTGTTTTATAACATCAAGTTACTGATGCGTTTACGCATTATCAATGCACAGCCAACTTGCAAACAATAAACCATATATCTAGGTTTAAAGATTATATAATATTATCGTCTTGCGATCACTCGTGATAAATTCCATGAAGTGATACCAGTAAGCGTGGGTGTAATCCAATGCTAAAATCTTGTTCATAAGCACTCGTGAATGTTGAAGCAAACATTTGCTATGTCTAATACTCTTTAGACAGTCTACAACCAATTCGTGACAGTCTTCTTTCATACCTACTTCCAAAGTATGAGCGACTGTGGACTGTTTGAATAATCTTATTATTCAGGAAGTCAAAACATGCAAAGTGAAACAATAGGTAAATGATTAACACGAGACAGTAACTATACTTATAAATAATACTACTTTATTTAATCATCAAATGTTAATACAATTTATCTATTACACGTTTCGAAACTATCTAATCTAAACCAATATCATCCTTCAGCCCAATGTTCCTAGCGTGCTGCAACTGCTTAACCCTACTCAGTCCCTTCGTAAGAGGATCTGATGGGTTATCCTTTGACGATACCCTCTTCACTACGAGGAGTCCCTCTTCCACTCGATGTCTAATAAAATGATATTTCTTGTCGATATGTTGAGATCTGCCATGGTCCCTCGGTTCCTTGGTCAAGGAAACCGCTCCTTCATTATCGCAGAAAATATCCATAGGCTCCTTTATGGCTGGCACAACTCCAAGGTCTCCGATGAAGTTCTTCAACCATATCGCCTCCTTTAACGCTTCGCTCGCTGCTATGTACTCTGATTCGCACGTTGAATCAACTACGGTCTCCTGCTTGGAACTTTTCCAAGTCACCGCTCCTCCATTCATGGT